ATACTCCAGCTTTCCTCTGCTTGTGCCCCATAGACCAGGGTGTGAACTAGGAGAGCTATCACCCTCTCCAAAGTGAGCATCTGTTTCTTCTGTCTTTCATTGACGTGGAATACTAGAGGACTTGTTGTGGGGGGTATGGCCACCCTTTTTTTTTTTTTTAACTGATTTCCTTTTCTGTCCTCTCCTGAGCCTGTATGAGTCAGAACACCGTATAGAAAAGTGGTTTTCAACTGCTAGTTTGTAGGTATAGAAAGGTTGAGGGTCAGGGAGAATGCTCAAAGGTGCACAAAGGTCCCAAGTCAGTCCCTGGCACTGCATGTTCCCTTTCATACAGCCAGGAGCAACTTTCTGAGCATTGCTAGGTGTGGCCCCAAAACAATACGAAAGGTTGAAAATCACTGCTGTAGAAGACAGAAGTTAGGATCCAACTTGCGAGGGACCTTGGCGATTACTTTGGGGTTGGTTGGCATGAGCCACTTCTGTGAAAGGTCTGGCTTAGAAAAAATAACTGTCTAACCCACCTACCTGCGCCCCCCCCCCCCCCCCCCCCCCCATTTTTCCTCCCTGCCTTAGGAAGGTAAGCTACATGGCAGTAGGGAAGTTTCTTGAGGACTTGATGATCAAGACTTGCCTGCCCCTGTTGTTGTTAGTCTAGACAACCCTGTAATTGCTCACTTGGCTCCCAGTTGCTTTTCCTCTGCTGCCTGACCTGGACCTGAGCTGTAGGGAGTTAGTACCAGTAACCCTGGGGTGGGGGGAAATGTCATGGCCAGGGGTCTTGGGGATACTGGTTGCCTCTCCCTCCCCCTTGGGTGCTGATGGCCGTTTCCACACACCATAGGCTTCCCGGATTTGGCAGGAGCTGGAGGCCGAGGAGGAGCCGGTACCCGAGGGGCCTGGGCCCTTGGGTCCCTGGGGGCCCCAAGACTGGGTGGGCCCCCCGCCACGTGGCTCTACCACACCAGACGAGGGCTGCCTTCGGTACTTTGTTCTGGGCACCGTGGCAGCTTTGGTGGCCCTCGTGCTCAACGTGTTCTATCCTCTGGTAACCCAGAGTCGCTGGAGATGAGCTCGCCTGCAGCAGCTGCTGTGAGCTGTCCAGACCTGCTGCCCACCAGGCTGTGCCTGCCTCTGGTGGGGACCAACTCTGGCTTTGGGCCTCAGTGTGTGCATCTTGGGGGCGAGGGTGAGGACCGTGACCCTGCAGGGGCAGCATATCCTCACATTCTCAGGTGGTCATCCATTCAGCTGTCTGTCCGTTTGTTTTGCTGCTCTGACCCTTGGCCTAGGGCTTAGCCCTGCCCAAGCAGCTTCTTGTATTTAAAGTGTTAATAAAGCGAGACTGTTCAGGCCCGATCTCGTCTCTCTGTCTCAACGCCGCTGCTTTCTGCACCTGCCTTGGGGCCCTCCCTTGGGTGCCGGGGCTCTGAGCCAGCACCCCCGGGATGCCAGGCAGCAAACTGGGCAGCCCCCAACCCCTGTCCTCATATTCTGTTGCAGGGACTAGGCCCTGGCCAGGCCCCCGAGGTGGCCCCCACGCGGACAGCCCCTGAACGCTTCGCCCCCCCTGTGGACCGCCCAGCCCCCACCTACAGCAACATGGAGGAGGTCGATTAGCAGGTCCCTGGCTGGTGGGGGGAATGGGTTTGGGGGATTCCCACAGAGGGCCAGCTCTTTGTCGCTTCTCCTTCTTTAACCCAAAGGACATTGGCTTCATCAATGGGGAGTGGGAGGTATGATACGGGGTGGGAACGTCACAGGTTGTAACCTCTTGTCAGCTTGACCCCTAGCCCCCACCCTCCACCACTGAGCCTTGGTGACTCCAGCCACTCCCAGTGCTGCGTGATTTGATTCTCAGTTGTATTCTTCAATTCTTTCTGACTCGCATTATAAACGTTATAATTTTATTCTAAAAATTGTAATTTTTTTTTTTTTTGCATTTTGGAAGTGATTGCTGCTGTTTAAATATATTTTAAAAATAAATGATAAATAAGCAGATTTAGTGACTGGTGCACCAGGTACTATGGCCACCTCCTCTCCCCATCATCTTGGGGTGAGTGTGTATGTGTATGCATGTATGTGTGTGTGTGAGTGTGTGAAAAACACTGAAAGTGTTCACGTGAGTCTTGCTCCATGGCCACTAGCTTTGTAGGGTCAGCCTACTGCTGTGTGGATCCCACTGGTTCTGGGTCCCACATGGAGGTGACTGTTGGCATCATTGTCAATAGTTCCACTGAAGGAATGGAAGTGAATCCATGAGCCCCTGGAGCTGACTGTTCATGGTAAAAGGTGTAGTCAGTGGAGTATCCTGAGTATGTTAACAGCTAACAGAGAGCAGGTCACGGAGGCTCTGTTGGGGGTGAGGAAGCACGGAGATGAGGATCATTTTCTTTCCTGTTCAGGTTTGTCTTTACTGTAGTTTGAGCACCATTTTGATCCTCTTGGGAAAAAATTAAAATGTCTTTTTTTTGGGGTGGGGGGAGCACACCAGATTGTTCATGGCTTACTCCTGATGTGCTCAGGGAATCATTACTGGTAGGGCTCAGGAGACCATATGAGGCACCAGGGATCTAATCTGGGTTGGTTGCTTGCAAGGCAAGCACCCTACCCATTATACTCTCTCTGGCTCCAGATTCTATCCTAAAGAGAGAACAAAGAAACTAGCTAATTCATTTTGACTGATTTCCCTGTGAAAGGGCCTGCTAGGCTCCTTATGAGTTTCCCACTGTGAATTCCTGAGACGTTGACCTCTGTCATCTGCTTCAGACTCCCACAGTGGGTTTGCAGGCTGGCCCAGCAATAGAGCCTCTTGAGAGGTGTTTTTTCCCTTTTTCTGAATAATGCTACCTTCCCCTTCTCTCCCATTTTCTTGAGAGTTGATATAGGCATCTTTAGTTGGAGATGGGGAGCAAGAGAATCCTTTAGGCAGATGTTTAAGCCAGAAAGTGTCAGGTCAACAGATGTGTGTCAGGGTCCTGGCATCTGGTAGTTCCTGCCCCCTCCCCAAGCCTGTGGGGCCAGTCACACAAGATGCTCAGCATGAAAACCCTGGTAGTACTCCACAGTTTTGATGGGGGATAGGGGTGGCAGTGAACAGAGGGAGTTCGTAGAAAATGTTAGCCCTGTGACTAGTGTTTATTTTTCTATGAGAATACCCAACAATAGGACCATGTGGGGTTGCTAGTTGTGACCCCGGAACTGGAGAGATCCTGCAGCGGTGGTGGAATTCCCAAGCTCAGTGCTGCTGTTGCTGCTGCTGCTGCTATGATACTGTTGGGAGGCCTGTTAACTTGTGGGCTGTAACCCGATTCTGCAGGGCCTTGACTAGGAGCTCCAACTGTGTGGAAAGCTGGCCACTAGCAGTCTGCATGTGCTGAATGCACTGATCAGGGGCTCATCCCCTGAAAACAGCCCTGTTACTACTCACTTCTCAGGCTGCAGAGTTGCCCCTCCATGGCATCAGCATTGTGGCCTCTTGCTTCCATGCTGTCAGGCTTTTAATTTTTAATCCCTATGGTATGCTATAGGGACATATGCTGTGGCTTCCTGTGCCACAGCAGGCTTTGGGGGCATTTACCTTCATCATTTCCCCCCTACTATTGTACCATAGATTCATGAAAGCAAGTTAGATCCCCATTCCTCTTAGTTCTATCCTGCAGTTCTTATGGCTCCAGCCACTGGTTGAACTGCTACTAGTACTCGTATTTTGGGTGACAGTGGTGGGACCACTTTCTCATTTTGTGACACAGAGCCAAGTATCCACAGGGCATGAGGGAGACAAGGAAGGGATTGTTTAGGCTTTGACTCAAATAAGGGGTACATGGCCCGGACTGCAGTGATGGTGATCATGGATACTTAAGTCACGTCAGGTAAGGGAAATTGAAGGGCACTCTTCTTTATAGACATCTTTATAGTGAGCTTGACTCCTGCAGTTGTGGACTCAGCACTGGGCTGGGTTTGGCATCAGCCCAGGAGCCAAGGACCCTTGGGGAGATGAGAAGACACAGGACTGGGCCAGGATGGTAATGCGGTGGAGTCCTGGGCATAACCTGTCATGTCATCATGAGGAACCCATGTGTAGACCCAGCAATAAAACGTGGCCATTAGGGTATAGCCATAAAGCAGGAGATGGTACGAATAAATCCTGCTCAGTCCTTGAGCCTCAGTATTCATGACACCGAGGCTTTCAAGAGCTTCTGTCCCAGTCACAGATTTGGCGGCTACACAGAGAAAGCAACTTATAAATTGTTTTGATCTGGTCATTCCCAGCAGGTCCTAGAAGTCCAGCAAGACTGGGGAGATACCTCCATGCCCCACTCCCAGCACAACAGCCATAATCAGAGGATTCTCCCTCCTGCTCCATCCTGTTTCACTTTGAATAAAATATTCTTTAAAACACCTGCAGATGTGTTTCTTGGTTTAATTGTGGCTTTCCTGTTGTTTTGTGGGCTTTGGCATGGCGAGGTAAGTGTGACAGGGATTCAAATAATTTTAGCACTTTAGCCGAGTTCCTTCTGGTCCCAAGCCCTCCTCTCCAGGCCAGGTGTGTCAAGTGGCCACAACCTCCCACCAGTTCTAGCTTTCTCAGATGGAGTTTTAATCCGGGATTTCCAGGGTTTCCGGGCCCTCAACTGTTTCCATGACAACTTGGAAGCGGTGACGTCAGAAGAACGACGGGAACTCCTTTGATCCCCAAGTCAGAATTAGGATGATTCCGATATTTCCAGGGGTGATTTAGAAATGTTGAAGCGCAAAAGGCCACACCCTGGGAGCGGAAGCCTGGGTACGGCCACCCTTACCCCTCCCACCCTCCCTTCCCTCCGGGAATTCCAGGCAAAAGCTCAGAGTCGCGAAAGGCCAGCTGGACGGCGCGAGGGCCTTTAAATGGCGTCGACCAACCCCCGTGGAGCCCCGCCTCCGCCTCCAAGGGCGGCGGTCATTGGTTCTTCCGAGAGGCTCCGTGCTCCTATTGGTCAGCGGGTTAATCCCGTGGCTCCCTGGGCCCCAGAGTTCCCTTTCGGTTTCCGGTGTTCCTACGATGGCGGCTCTGGATTCTGTGTCGCTCTTCACCGGCCTGGGGCTGAGCGAGCACAAGGCCCGCGAGACACTTAAGAATACGGCTCTGAGCGCGCAGCTGCGCGAGGCGGCGACGCAGGTGCGAACCCCCCTCTCGCGGGCTGGGGCTTCGGGCCGGGCCTCCCCCAGCCTTGCCTCTTGCCTTCCTTACTGGTCGTGGGCTTTCCCTCCCGGCCCCTCTGACCCCAGGCACATCAGACTCTGGGCTCCACCATCGACAAGGCCACGGGGACTTTGCTCTACGGCCTAGCCTCCCGACTCAGGGATCCCCGGCGTCTCTCGTTCCTCGTGAGCTACATTGCCAGTAAGAAGATTGTCACCGAGCTCCAGCTGAGTGGTGAGAATCTTGCCGCGCCCACCGCCAACTCCTCCCCGCAATCCTGACTCTCCTCTACCCAGTTTGCCAAGTTCCTCCGTGACTCTAGATGCCTGCTAAGTTTGCACTCTAGTGTAAACTACAGGGCCCCGGCGTGAGGGATAGAGTTGGCCGTCTCTGGTGAGACTGGTAGAGGGACATATGTTTCGTGATATTTTAAGTTTTTCATTGTTGGGGGCCACACCCAGCAATACGCAGGGGCTTCTCCCGACCTGTTGCAGGGGCTCCATGCGGTGCTGAGGATGGATCCCGGGACCCCAGCATGTAAAGAGCTTTTTCCTTCCTGTGCTTCGCATGCTTCTCTAGGGTGGTGCAAGACTTAAGCCTTCAGGCACAAGGAGGCCATACAGTAGTTGGGTTTCATGGGATTATGACCATGTCTGCTTCTTGGAGCTGAGGTGCCACAGGCTCTGGCCTTCCTTTCTCAGCTGCCCTTGAATATGTGCGAAGCCATCCCCTGGACCCCATCGACACTGCGGACTTTGAACAGGAATGTGGCGTGGGTGTCACGGTCACCCCGGAGCAGATTGAGGAAGCGGTGAGTCTTTCCCCGAGGCAACTGCTGCCTCCCCAGAACTGACCCTGGGGAAAGGAGTGGCTCAGCTTCTCCACCCAGGAAGACCCAGTGGGAAGCTGTGGATCCCCAGAACATTTTTGGAGGAGGCTTTCCTGAATCGCATCGTTTGTCTTTCTGCAGGTAGAGGCTGCCATCAATCGGCACAGGCCCCAGCTCTTGGTGGAGCGTTATCACTTCAACATGGGGCTGTTGATGGGTGAGCAAGGGGCATGGGCAGGGGACTCTCATTCATGCTGCTGCTTGTGCCTTCTCTCTTGGGCATGAATGAGGAGATGGGGCTGGCTGGATCCAGACTCTGGTCTGGGAAGAAGGGTGGGAAGTACACTCCTTTGCCTTTCTGCAGCTCCTTGTGCCTGTGTTCCTAGGAGAGGCTCGGGCTGCGCTCAAATGGGCAGATGGCAAAATGGTCAAGCATGAAGTGGACATGCAGGTGGGTGTTGCCTTGAGCAGAAGCAGGCAAAGACCTTGCAATGGTCAGGAACCTAGGGTCTACTCTGCGATAAACTGCCACAGGGGGCAGGGAGGGAGGAGGCAGTACCTGGATAGGCAGTGAAGGACTCGGGTCTCTGAGCTATGCTTAGATTGGGGTGAGTTGCTTTACTTGAACCTCAGTTTTCTTCTTCCCCTCCTCCCCCACCTTTGGTATACAGGACTAAATTTCCGTATCTTTAAAATAAGGGTGACAAAAAGGAGAGAGAGAACAAAAGGGAATGCCCTGCCACAGAGGCAGGGTGGGATGGGAGGGATGGGGTTGGGAGGGATACTGGGATCAGTGGTGGTGGAGAATGGGCACTGGCGGAGGGATGGGTACTTGATCATTGTGTAACTGAAACCCAAGCACAAAAATTTGTAAGTCTACAACTGTACCTTATGGTGTTTCACTAATAAAAATCAAAATAAAATAAAATAAGGTGACATCATCTTCATTTCAGGATATTGGTTTAGATTTATGAAGATGGTGGCAGGGGTCAACTGTTTGTCTCCATGCTGGGCCCAACAGCTTTCTGTAAATGGCAGTTTTTGTTACCTGAGCCCGTAAGGACCCTCAGGAGGGAAAGAACTTTTGAAGCAGAAGAACCTTGCAAGTAGCAGGAGTGGAATGGGCTGGGCAGGCTTTTCTTGGAAGTAGTAGCAGACCAGGAAGCCCTGAAATCAGTAAAAGGGGTAATCAGGAACTCCTCAGAAGAGAACACAACTGCTGCATGCTTGTCTTTCATCTGTGCTCAGGTCCTCCACCTTCTGGGTCCCAAGACAGAGAGTGATCTGGAGAAGAAGTCCAAGGTAGGGCTGAGCATGATCTGCATACTAACTATGAGGTGTGGTAAGGTGTTTGGGCCTCAGGAGTGGCTGGCTCTTAGGATTCCCAGGAGAGACCCTTACCCAGTTTCTGGACTTTTTGCAGGTGGCTAAGGCGCGGCCAGAAGAAGCAGATCGCAGGGCAGCAAAGGATGTGGTGGAGAATGGTGAGAGACCGGTGGCTCCTGGCTCCGTCAGCTCCCGATGACTCAGGCTTTCCAGCTAGTTGCTCCTGACACTGTTCTCAGGCCATCAACTTACTCAACTCTGTGTCTTCTGCTGCAAAACTGAATTTCTAGTGTTTGCTTTGTTCCTTTTACCCAGATAGTGGCCTGAAGACTCCCAGAAAATTTGATTTAGTACTTTTTGGTTTTTGTTTTCTCCCAGTTGTCTGAAATGTCTATAACCTAGCTCTGGATGGAGGAGGGCAAGTCCTCGGTCTGTTTGGTCATGTTCTAGCAAGAACTGTAGGAATGTCCAAGGACACCCCAGACCCAAGAACAGCGGGGACTTGCAGTAACATAGTATTTATTTCTGAGATTGGGAGAAGATGGATCTGATTGGTTCTGTTCATATTGTAGAGTTTGGGTAGTGCTGGCAGGCCCTCTAGTTAACTGAGTGTGGTAGCTCCATCCAGAGGATAAGTTTTGTCCTTTTTTTCCATAGGTGAGGCTGCTGGCCAGACCCTTTCTCTGATGGAGCAGCTTCGAGGGGAGGCCCTTAAGTTCCACAAACCCGGTGAGCAGGCAGGTTGAAACTCTGGGAGAGGGAGGCCTTGAGAGCAATTCTTTTTTTTTTTTTTTGAGAGCAATTCTTGTAGCCAGGCTGCACCCTGGTCCTCTGACATTCTGTTTCTGGCAGGTGAGAACTACAAGACTCCAGGCTATGTCATCACGGAACATACCATGGATCTACTAAAGCAGCACCTGGAGATCACTGGGGGACAGGTGTGTGAGGATGGTCAGGCAAACCCCAGGGCACAGCAGATGCCCAGACAACTTGGGCTACTGTGACATTGCTCCATTTCAGCCATATTTATGAGCCTGGGAAAAAGTATTTGTTCCTCTAGGATAGTTTGAGTTAATCTGGCCTAATTCCTCTGCTCCCATTCCCCTTATCTCAGGTACGTACCCGGTTTCCCCCAGAACCCAATGGAATCTTGCACATTGGACATGCCAAAGCCATCAATTTCAATTTTGGTTATGCCAAGGTAAGTGTGTACCTAGCGACTGGCCACTCCATGTCTTATTTGAGAGAGGTGTCCTTAGGACTGGAGTGGTAGTACAGTGCTTAGGGCACTTGCCTTACATGCAGATGATCTGGGTCCGATCCCAAGCACCTCCATAGGGTCCCCTGAATACAGAATCAGAAGTAAGTCTTCAGCACCCCAGGTGTGAACCAGAAGGAAAAAAAAAACAAGGAAGGACAGAAGGAAAATGAAGGAAGGAAGGAAGGAAGGAAGGAAGGAAGGAAGGGAGGAAGGGAAAAGAGCCATAGTTGTCTCTGCTTTTCCTGCTGCTCCCATTAGGTGCCCAATGTGTACAGAGGCCATGGAGGAGAGTCAGGGTCTGGTTCCTAAAAACCTGATCAGGAAGATCAGGTGAGGAAGAAGTTCACATTTAGATGAATTCTCAGTGCAACTTGTCAAGCTTTGGAAGAGGTTATGGTGTTGTTCCAAGTTTGTGTAAGAGATGCTTTGTTTGGAGCAGATACAGGAAGATGAGTGAACCTGTTGAAAGCATTTCTTGTTCTGACCTGGGAGAATTCTTCGAATGCCTCACTTAGTTGAGCAGGATTGTGAGAGATGATGAGAAGCTCACAAATACTTTAACTCTCTTAGGCCAACAATGGGATCTGTTTTTTGCGTTTTGATGACACCAATCCTGAGAAGGAGGAAGCCAAGTTCTTCACTGCCATATATGATATGGTGACATGGCTGGGTATGAACTGGGCAAGACCTGGGCAAAGCTGGGAGTTACAGGCTTTACCTTGAACTGTGGTCTGTCATGTGACCGTTGGTGGTTGATCATATGCTATCTCCTCCTGTCCCAGGTTACACACCTTATAAGGTGACATATGCTTCTGACTATTTTGACCAGCTGTATGCCTGGGCTCTGGAGCTCATACACAGGTGAGGCCCTGATATAGAGCCAGGCAGAATGAGCCAGACGGAGCCATGCTGGGTACTCACACCCCTTCCCCATAGGGGCCAGGCCTATGTGTGCCATCAACGAGGAGAGGAGCTCAAAGGTCACAATTCTCTGCCATCACCCTGGAGAGATCGTCCCATAGAGGAGTCACTACTGCTCTTTGAGGTGGGCTTCTGAAGGGGGCTTCTGGGGTGTGGGGTTCAGAATGCTCAGGATAAGATGGCTCAGTGCTAAGCAGTAACCTGAGCCCCTGGTCTCTTCAGGCAATGCGCAAAGGCAAATTTGCAGAAGGTGAGGCCACTCTGAGGATGAAGCTGGTGATGGAGGATGGCAAAATGGACCCTGTGGCCTATCGAGTCAAGTATACACCACACCACCGCACAGGGGATAAATGGTGGGTGTAAGCTCTGGGTTTCTGGAATGGTGAGCCACAGGGCAGGGTAGAATGGGGCTGGATGGTGGGCCCATTGCCTGTATCCTGCAGGTGCATCTACCCCACCTATGACTACACACACTGCCTCTGTGACTCCATCGAGCATATCACCCACTCCCTCTGCACCAAGGAATTCCAGGCGCGGTGAGAGAACGTGGGTCTATGGGGTGGGAAGGGCCAGTAATATTCCAGTAGCCCTTCCTGTGGTCTTTCCCTGGTCCAAGGTGACCATCCCTGATGCTACTCTCCCCTCCAGACGGTCTTCCTACTTCTGGTTGTGCAACATGCTGGATGTCTATTGTCCTGTCCAGTGGGAGTATGGCCGCCTCAACTTGCACTATGCTGTTGTTTCCAAGAGGAAGATTCTTCAGCTGGTGGCAGCTGGTGCTGTGCGGTAGGTGTGATTGCTTGGCACATGGAAGCTTGGTGATACTAGACATGTGCTGCTTCCAAATGCCTTCTTGCATCTCTTTGCCTCTGCAGAGACTGGGACGACCCACGGCTCTTCACACTAACAGCACTTCGACGGCGGGGCTTCCCGCCTGAGGCCATCAACAACTTTTGTGCTCGGGTACAGCCCCATCAACCAGGTGTGCAGGTGGGTGGTGAGTATGGGTCTGGAGCAGTGACTGATGCTAACTTTTCTGCTAGGTGGGGGTCACCGTAGCACAGACCACAATGGAGCCACATTTGCTAGAAGCCTGTGTGAGGGATGTGTTGAATGATACAGCCCCACGAGCCATGGCTGTTCTGGAGCCATTACAGGTTGTTGTCATAAACTTTCCCGCTGCTAAGGTAGGTTTGCCTTAATGTGTCTGAGAAGTGTGCGCACATGTATTTCTGGTTCTGGACTGGGCAAGTTCCAATGCCTCATGTGACTCAGATATCGATCTTCCGTTATAGTCCTTGGACATAAAGGTGCCCAACTTCCCAGCTGACGAGACCAAGGGCTTCCATCAAGTTCCCTTTGGACCAATTGTCTTCATCGAGAGGACTGATTTCAAGGAGGTGAGTGGGAGTGGGGGGTTGTGCTTGCTCCTCAAAGCTAAGTCCTGAGATCCTTTCTTCCTGCTTCAGACCAACCATTCCTTGTCAGATAAAGGGGATAGGGGAGAAGCAGGCTTTTGTCTTTGTCTGACTCATGCAGCCTATGGTGGTCAACCTGATTTCATATTTCTAGGAGCCAGAGCGAGGCTATAAGCGCCTGGCACCGGGCCAGCCAGTGGGTCTGAGGCATACAGGTTATGTCATTGAGCTACAGCAAGTTATTAAGGTGAGAGCCAACTGCAGCTTTCCTACCAGAATGTCTATCAGGGCCAGTCTGGGTCGTGATCTGATTACAGGTCTCTTACCCTTGAACTCTAGGGCCCTGATGGCTGTGTGAAAACCCTGGAGGTGACCTGCAGACGAGCAGATGCTGGAGAAAAGCCTAAGGCCTTTATTCACTGGGTTTCACAGCCTCTAGAGTGTGAGATCCGACTCTATGATCGTCTGTGAGTGAACAAAGCTGGGGTGGGGGCATGTCGAAATTGGCATTGCCTGCTATGGCTGCCCAGTCACTATGTCTGAAGTTTATTCTGGCTGCAGATTTCAACACAAGAACCCAGAGGATCCTTCTGAGGTGCCTGGTGGATTTTTAAGTGACCTGAACCCGGTAAGCTGGTGGGCTATGGAGTGAGGGTGGTAGGCCTCCCTGGATGACTCCTCTTCTGAGTTCCCTCCTTGCAGGCATCGCTACAAGTGGTAGACGCAGCTTTAGTGGACTGCTCTGTGGCCCTGGCAAAGCCCTTTGACAAGTTCCAGTTTGAGCGGCTCGGCTACTTCTCTGTGGATCCAGACAGCCGTGAGGGACAGGTACTTAGCATGACCTGCTTGTTCTTTCCACTGCAGTGCCAGTGGTTTTTAACCTTTTCACATCTGTGAACTTGCAGCAGTCCAGGCCTACGGTGGGAAACCACTGACCTATGCCAAATAATTTGCCTATATTCTTTCCATTAATCCTCACCACATAAGGTGGGGTTTGTTTTTCTATTCTTTCCCTTTTTTTTCCTTTTAAACCCCCCTTTTTTTTAGATTTTAATTTTAATAGTTTGTTGATTTTTGGGGCTGGAGTGATAGGACAGTGGGTATGGTGTTTGCCTTGCATGCGGCCAACCCGGGTTCAATCCCTGGCATCCCATATGGTCCTCCAAGCACTGCCAGGAGTAATTCCTGAGTGCAGAGCCAGAAGTAACCCCTGAGCAATGCTGGATTTGACCCAAAAAAAAATTTTTTTAAAAAATTTAGTCTCTGTGAAGTTACAAAGTTATTCATGGTTTGGTTGCAGTCATACAATGTTTGAGCACCCCTCCCTTCACCAGTTGCCATGTCCTTCCATCAGCCCCTTCTCAGCCCCCCGTCCCCCCACCTCATTGCCTCCTGTCTACCAGTCTCACTTCTATGAGAGGCTCTTTATATATACATATGTGTTTTTGCACTGTGGTTTACAGTACTGTTGCTCGTAGGGTTCCGTACATAACACTTTACCACTTTTCAGCACAAGATGGGGTTCATTTTCTACTAATGAAACAAGCTGTGAGGTTTAAGACCCTTTTTTTTTTTTATTAAATTTTTTTCTTTGTTTTTTGGGACACCTGTCAGTACTCAGGAACTACTCTTAGCAGTATTCATGGGACCATGTAGTTTGCTGGGGATCGCATCCAGACCTCTTGCACGCAAAACATGTGCTTGGCTGGTTGAGCCATCTCTCGGGTCCCCATGCACATTTTTTTACAGATCCTCCCTTTTGTACCTTTCGACATAGAAATGAGGCCAATGGGCTATTAAAAATTCTTTAAAGTATGGGCCCAGAACCATCCAGTCCCTGAGCCAAAATATTAAAATTTGAGAGCATCCCAGGTCTGCTGATCCTGAACAACTCTGGATGAGGTGGGGGTAAAGCGGTGTTGTCTGTGCTAAGAACCCCCCACCCTGGGCTTCCTGGCCTTATTCTGGCTTAGTCATTTGCTTCTCTTTCTGCCCTTCAGCTTGTCTTCAATCGGACAGTGACACTGAAGGAGGACCCAGGAAAGGTGTGAGCTGAAAGCCCAAATCGACCTACCTCACCTTCTTGGAGGCCACTGGCCCCCAGACTCTCAATAAAGAACTAACTACTTACTGGAGTCTGTGTTATGTGTCTCCCATGCTCAGGGTGGAGGGAAGGTGCACTTGCACCAATAGCAGTATGGACAGCTTTGAAACTTTTGGTGCATATCTTGGTGCTGAAGATGGCATTTCTTGGGCTGCTGGGGTGGAGTGATAGCACAGCGGGTAGGGCATTTGCCTTGCACGCAGCTGACCCTGGTTCTATTCCCAGCATCCCATATGGTCCCTCGAGCACCACCAGGATAATTCCTGAGTGCATGAGCCAGGAGTACCAGGAGTAAGCTCTGTGCATCGCAGGGTGTGACCCAAAAAGCCCCCCCCAAAAGAAGATGGTGGGCTTCAGCCTGACTTGCTAACCTCTACCTGATTTGAGGGGATGTTGGAACCCTTGGCCCTACACTGAGCAGCACCCTGTTCCTGCCTTAGGAACTCTGTATCAAAGGGAAATGTAGGACTGGTGTCTGCTCTATAGAGGCAGATGAAGAGGTTTGGCTCCCAACAATTATTGAGGACCTACTATGTGCTAAATACAGGGCGCTGAACCAGGTATACCATCTAGCTCAGGACAAAGAGATCTTCCTGATTCCTCCTGGGCCTCAAGACTGCACAGAAAGTTATGTGAGGGGAGCCTCAAGGAATGGGGGCGTTTTCCTAGGGCAGGAAAAGCAACTGTGAAGGTCCAGAGGCCTTTGTAAAGGAGTGGTAAGACAAGCTGCTTACCCTCTGGGCTGTATGGGCCACCGGGAGTCCTTTGAGTGTCTGTAGCTTTAACACCCTCCACATTTTCCCTGTATACAAACACCGGTTACCAGAGGCCCGCTTTAAGGTGGACTGGTCTGCGGATGACTGAATTCTAACGATGGCAGGTTGCGCGGGTAACCCTGAAGCTAGGAAACTCCGGGAGGAGTGATGCTAGGTTTCTAGGTGGGGCAAGGTGGGGGTGCCGGCCTAGACTGGAGACCCGGGGGGGCCACCTTAAGCCAAAGGACTGACTCCGCCCAGCTCAAACCTCGGAGGGGTGGCAGGTGGGTCCCCTGAGCGAGTTCCCAGATCCTGCAGGTCTGGGTTCTCTGGTTAACTCATCTCCAGTCCTGGCTCTACCCTCCCAAAAAGGGGCGTCGAGGGCGCGGCGCTCCGCTCTACACTCGGGCTCTTCAGTCGCAACTACAACAACCCAAAGCCCGGCCTCCCTCCTCGGAATAAGCGTTCCCTTTAAGTCTGGCCAGGAGGCAGCCTCAACTCTCGCGGGATCCGACGCTCCGATTATCGCGAGAGAAGCATTCGGCACCCATTGGCTGTGGGGGTTGAATGTAAGATGGCGCCCAGGGAGCTGTGAGGAGAAAATCCTGTCGGTCTTGGAGCGGGGACGGCAGAACCGGGGCCCCAAGCTGTGCTGCGGGGCCAGCGGGTAGAGCGGCGGCGGCGGCGGCGGCGGCGGCGACGTCGCCGGGTGAGGGCTCTAGGAGGGGCAGAGATGCGGCTGGTCTGAGACAGCAGGCCCACCCTACACAACGGCGGGCGGGGGCGGGCGGGCGGGCCACTGCCGCTGGGCCCAGGAGACCTCGGGGCGTCTCCGGAGCAGAGAACGTCCCTGGGCTCGCGCGCCCCCGCCCTTCGGGTGGGGGAGGTGCGGGCCAGAGATTCTGGTGGGCGCGGCGCGCGAACGCGCCCCGGCGCCCGCGTCGGCCGGGCCTGTTTATACGCGCGGGCGCGCGCGCGCCGTGCGGCCCTCCTGGTGCGCGTGGCCGTCGACGTGCGCGTTCTTGGCCCGGATTGCTCGGCTCCCGGAGCGGCGGCCCGAGGGCAAGGGCGGCTTTCTGGGGCGCGCGCCCCGAAGTCGGGGGTCGCGGGCGGGCGCGCGCCCTGCTGTTGGGAGGCAGCGCCGTCGCGGGGGCGCGCTGCACACCCCTGCTGCGCCGTGGGGCGGTGGGCGGGCGGCTTGCGGTGCGAAGAAGGCTCGGGTTGGGCCCTTCCTGCTCTGGTGACGTCCCCAGACCAGTGTGGCCTAGGCCTGGGGAGAAATCTACCGGCTTTGCGGTCTGGCTTCCAGCCCCGCTCCTCTGTGAGGCGGGCGAGATTGCTTGTTCTCGAAGAATGCGGTGACCCAGGGCCCATGTGCAGGGTGGGTACGTGGACAGGGTGCTTCGCAGACCGAGGTCCGTTAGGCAGTGAGAGCCGCGAGTCGCCCCTCCAATTTTATCCCCTTGTTTGGGTGCTTTGTGCTGGGGAGCGAAGGCTCAGTAATACTGGAAGGTCCGTGAGCGTTGCCTGCTTTCTTGTCATTAGAAAGTAATTTTTCCAGAAGCGCTATTCCTACACGTCACCGCTGTGCGCCCTGGAAGGAGCTCCTCTTCTGTGGGTGCTGCGAAACTCCCCGTTTGAAAACGCCACTTGCAATCCTTAAATGCAGCCTTTTCTTCTGTGTGGGTGGGAGTGGCTTGCCGTGCTGTGGTAGACCTAGGACCCGCTATTGCTCAGTTAGAAAGTTGCCCAGAACAAAATTTCCGCATGAGAATCAGTGTTTTGCCGTTTTTGTAATTCCGAAATTCCCCAGTAGAAATTCTTAAAATCTGTGTCTCACAGCAAAAAAAATCACACTTAGTGTAGGGTTTTGATCCCTTTCAGACTTCTCTCTTTTTTCAAAGTTTTGTGGTGCCAAGGGAGTTAAGTTCTAGGCTCATCCTAGAGAAATACGCACTTAAATGGTCTCAGACAAAACAGCTGTTAATTTTGACTGTTTCAGTTTGCCTTATTGAGCTTAAGGGAAAAAGCTAAGAGGAAGTAAAATTGGCTATCAAATTTAATAACGATGGGGTAGTTCTTTCTAATATGCTTTGTTATTTTTAAGAACAAAGTTAAAACTTAAAAAGAGGCTGAGGATGGAAGGAACTTCTTTGTTCTATCTTCTTCAGAATGTTACAAGTCTTAAGAACTCAGGACAAGCAGCAGAAATACATGCAACATGGTGACTGGTGAGTTAAAATCATTCATATGCTGGAAATGTGTGGAGTTTTTTCCTGGTAAGACTGAAACATTACAAAACTGTCAATCATTCTGGGGGCTGTCTGCCAGACACTACTAGGTACTGGAAAATTGAAGCTGTAGGACAATTGCATCTTTGAATCCAGCTACCGTTTGCTGCTTGAACAGTTTTTCCTAAAATGTAAGTTAGTGCAACTTTCAGGTTTTAGCCCGAGGAGGCATCAGCTTTTCTAAAAACCAGCATGGTTTAAAGAAAAATAATCGGGGTACACTTACATTCTAATTAATTTTTTTCCTTGGTATCGCAGGGAATTGAATCTAGGGTCTTATACATGCAAGGCAAGTTCTCTATGAGCCACATCCCTGGCTCTAAAAATTTAATATTATTTTTATGCCTACTTGTTCTGGAATATCTTTATGAATTTTAAGTTTGAGATCTATATTTTAAATTGGTGTTTGCAGATAATATTTTTATCAAGCTTAGTAGGTCAAATAACCCTATTAGAAGTCCTTCTAGTCTTCTGTGATGAATATTTCATGTACCTTTCCATGAATCTTTGCTTTTCCACATTCCCTTTCCAGCTTAGATTGGCATTTCACACAAAAGATCCAATAATGGTTGAAGTTTCTTATTAATTTGAATTGCTCCAAAAGGTAACCAAAGTCAGGGACTTTGGGTGTGGCTGTTCTCTATGATGACAGCCTTAGAATCAGGGATGCCTGCCTTCACACAGCATGTGTAATTTTAACATGAGTGGTTTGTTCTTGAGGTGCCATGTTACTTGTTTGTTTCGCTTTTTAAATGACCTCCCTTTACCTGTATTGGTCTATTATTTCTCAGCCTCAGAGATATTGCATTGCTTTTTATTTTGCATTTATGTACCCTGCGTTTAGTTCCAGATGTTTTCAGTTCTTCCCAGGCTTCACTTACATACTTGATTTAATTTTTCTTAATGTTACATTTGAACTGTGATTTTTGGTTGTAGCTGCATGAAGAAATGATAGATTGACCTTTGCTTTGCTGAAAAGGTCCTTTGGTTATACATTTTAGAGCAAAATTGTGGGTAGAGTTGCTATACTGTGTCAGAAAACTCTTTTTCTTCTTTTTAGATTTGTGAAGTTTCATATAAATTTATATAGCCTGTATACCATTTAATGAAAATTATAAAGTGAATCACTGCAACTTTCATTCTCCAATAAATAGAAGTGTCCACACCCATGAGCCCTTTATTCATCCCTTACTAGTCAATATTACTTCTGTTATAATCCTTTTTTTCCCTTCTTTTTGGTTTTGTTTTTTTGGCAACACCCAGCTGTACTCTGGCTCTGCATACAGGACTCACTCCTGGATGGGGGTGGCAGGGAAAGAGTGGTGCATAACAGCTTAGGTGGTGCTGGGGATGGAGCTTGAGTCTGCTTTGTGTAAGGAAAGCGCCTTACCCACTGGACTGCTGTACTGTTTCTGACTCCTTTCTTTTTACTTACCATCTTTGTATCCCTTAACAACATAGTTCTGTTCACTTTTGAATTATAGATAAATGGAGTCATGCTGTATTTTGTCATTTAGCATTGTTTGTGGAATTTGTTTACATATCATGCAGCTTTAGTTTATTCATTCCCATTTCTGTATAGGATTCTGCTGTATGAGTATGTTTTAATTTGTCCTGCTGTTGATAGATATTTCCAGTTTGAGGCCATTACTAATAATGTTACTCTGAACATATTTTGAGTGTATACGTCTGTATACATAATCTATATGTATAGATGCACACTTAGGGATAGGATTGCTGGGTTACATATAATGGATAATTTCTTTTTGTGTTTGGGCCACATTTGGCAATGCTTTGGAGCTGCTCCAAGCTATGTTCAGGGATTGCTTCTGAAGGTGCTTGAGGTACAATGTATTGGGAACTGCCTGGCCTCCTGCAAGAAGACGTGTACTCCAGCCCTTTGAGCTAATTCATAGACCCCTGTAATAGATATTTGGAATTTTGTTAGTGATGAACACTGTTGTGCAAATT